AACCTTGAGAAGAGCCAATTCTTCTCTCAAGAAACTGAATTTTTGGGATATTTTATCTCAAATGAAGGGATCAAAGTTGATGAAAGAAAAACGCAGGCCATACGAGATTGGCCCATGCCAACCACTATGCAACAAGTCCGGAGTTTTCATGGCCTTGCTTCTTTCTATAGAAGATTTGTCAAGGATTTCAGTACTATCACAGCTCCTCTCACGGATTTAACCAAACATCAAAAGTTTGAGTGGAATCCAAGTGCACAACAGGCCTTCGAAACTATCAAACTTAAACTAACACATGCACCGGTGTTAGCTTTGCCTAGTTTTGATAAGTTGTTCGAAGTTGAATGCGTCGCTTCCGGCGTTGGCATAGGAGCCGTATTATCCCAAGAAGGCCACCCAGTGTCATATTTTAGTGAGAAGTTGAATGACACCCGAAGGAGATATTCAACTTATGACAAAGAGTTTTACGCTCTTGTACGATCTCTTGAGCATTGGAGGCATTATTTGATTAGCAAGGAGTTTATACTCCATTCTGATCATGAAGCACTTAAGTACATCCAAGGGCAACATAAACTCCGACCCCGTCATGCCAAATGGGTCAAATTCATCCAAACCTTCACCTTCTCCATAAAACACAAGAACGGGACCCTGAACAAAGGCGCTGACGCCTTATCCCGGCGACATTTATTACTAACGGTACTTAGTACCAATCTTGTGGGCTTTGAAATTTTGCAGGGATTATACCAAGATGATGAAGATTTCAAGGAGGCATACCATAAGTGCCTCACACGGTCCTTTGGTAATTTCCTCATTAAAGACGGTTTTCTGTTTCGTGGCAACCAACTATGTATCCCGAAATGTAGTTTGCGCGAAACAATAATCGAGGAAGTTCATGGTGGTTCTTTAGCTGGTCATTTCGGGATGGATAAAACTTATATGATGCTTCAAGAGCATTATTACTGGCCAAAGATGGAAAGAGACACCGAGCATTTTATTCGACGTTGTACTACTTGTCAACTCGCCAAAAGCCACTCCAAAGCCACAAAAGGAATGCATATGCCGCTGCCCATACCACAAGCTCCTTGGGAAGACGTGAGTCTAGATTTCATCACCGGTTTGCCACAAACGCAGCGAGGAAAGGATTCAATCATGGTGGTGGTTGATCAATTTTCAAAGATGGCACACTTTGTTCCGTGCCTAACAACTCATGATGCTTCACAAATTGCAGATTTGTACTTTAGGGATATTGTCAAACTTCATGGCATTCCCCGAAGTATGGTTTCCGATCGAGACCGCAAATTCTTAAGTCATTTTTGGATGACTTTGTGGAGAAAGATGGGTACTAAACTCAAGTTTAGTACATCAAGCCACCCGCAAACCGATGGCCAGACGGAAGTAACAAACCGAACACTTGGCACCATCCTTCGTGCCATCATCAAGAAGAACATCAAATAGTGGGAGGAATTACTTCCTCATGCCGAATTTGCTTACAACCGCAGTCCAAGCAAAACAACAGGCATGTCACCATTTGTTACTGTTTATGGTGTTAATCCCCTTACCCCACTTGATCTTAATCCAATCTTAACAGATACAAAGTACAGTTGGGAAGCGGAGAAACGAGCACAGGAGATACAAGCTATTCACAACAAGGTCCGAGCAAACATTGAGAAAATGAATGAGCGTGTCAGTGGAAAGATCAACAAGAGACACAAGAAAATGGATTTCCAGCCCAGAGATCTTGTGAGGATCCACCTTAGAAAAGAGCACCCTCAAAACGCAAGTCCAAGCTACTGCCCCAAGGAGATGGTCCGTTCGAAGTTTTAGCTAAGGTCAACGACAACGCATACAAGATAGACCTGCCCGGAGACTATGGAGTTTCAGCCACGTTCAATGTCATGGATCTCAGCCCGTACTTTGAACCCGAAGATATTCCGAGTTTGAGGTCAAACTCTCCTGAAGAAGGGAAGGATGATGTACCCCGGGATGCTCCTACAAGCATGAAGGCTACGCCACAAACCATAAAACAAATCAAAGGGTTAATATCTAAGTGTTATGATCCTTTTTGGGCTGAACTCATTAACCTTTCGTATCCTAAAACCCAAACCATAACCCTTCTCTTCCAAAGCCTTTCTTGATATTAAACCATTCCATATCCTTCCCAAAATATCCAAAAATCTTTTATTTTCATTTGATGAACAAAATAAAGTCCTTTCTCTCCTTTTTAGCCCTGAACAAGAATGAGGTCAGAAGGACAAA